AGTAGACTGTACTTCTAGTAATACAATACACAGTAATACATACAGTATCAATGGAGTGTATATTTACCATTTTCAGTCTCAGTGGTTGGTTTAGTCAATACTTCAGCTTCACTTTTAATAGGAACAGGTATATTATCTACCAGTATATTATTCCCATCAATGTGTTCCTTATTTTCCTTTTCTTTGGCTGTGTCTACAGGATCTTCCTCTTGTCCTCCTTGTTTCTTTTGTAATTCCAATGCTTTATGTTGTTCATGTGACTCCCTCTCTTCTTCTCCTCCTTGTTTGTGTCCTTCTCTTTGAAGGTCTCCTTCCTCTTCCTCTCCATCTTGCGACTGTAATTGATCTCCTTTCTGCAACTGATCTCCTTGTGCATGCTCTCCTTCTTGTTCCTGTTCCTCTTGTACCTCCTCTCCTTGTTGTCCATTGGTTTGTTCATTAGTTCCTGGTTGGTGTTGCTGGGCTAGTACTGTCAGTGCATCTCCTCCTTGTTCCTGTTCCCCTTCTTGTGACTGCTCTCCTTGGGTTTGTGGGTTAACTACTGGTTGTTGTTGAAGGACTGGTGCATTTCCTCCCTGAGCTGATACTACACCTGCTCCCTGAGATCCTGTTCCTTGTTGCTGCTGACCTCCTCCTCCTCCTCCTCTAGTCATCGATACTATTAGCAATCCCAGTATGCACACCAAACAGAAATCTTTACGCTCAATGAATCCATACCCACCATTAGAGCTAAACTCTCCTCCTTCTACAAACTTGAACTGATAAGGAAGACTGGGTGTGCTCACGGGAGCTATAGCAAACTTTAAGCAATGTGCAAGATCTGGTTGTCCTGTTAAATCAATGCAGTGCTGTATCTCTAACTTGAGTCGTTTTAGGAGAGGCTTTGAGAGTGATACTGCATACACAGCACTGACTAAGACAGTATTAGGAGGAAACTTGAACTGTCCTCCTACAAGAGCAACCACTGCTGCTTCTACTGTCTCAGAGGACAATAGGCTTCCTTCTTGTACTCCAATCCTTAGACCATATTTCTCCCAATTCATCAGTTGAGGTTTGTCTCCTTGAATTAAGAACAGCTTCTTCTCTGCTACCTGGACATCACTCAGACATTCCAAATTATCTATCAATTGTATACAATATATACTCAGTCAGTATAATACTCTTACCCATTGAAGGGATCATGTAATCAAATTGCACTTCTTTGGTACTGGTAGTCTTTTTGATGGATTGTTCCTTGAAGGATGTGACTCTCTCCTGTAGTTGCTCCTTCTCCTTCATTAGTTTGGCAGTATACAATTCATTATCGGCAACTTCAGTTTTTAGTTCTAAATATTCTATAATACTTATTGATGACAATACTCTAACTTTTAGTGATCTGTTTCTCCTTGTGATATTGCTTCTCTACTTTTTCATTCTCTTCCTCTAATTCAGTTATATATACATCATTAACAGCAACTTTAGCTTTGAATTCTAAAAAATTTCCGCTTATAGTGCACACATCAGTATTGATGACAATATTCTAACCTTTAGTGATCTGTTTGTCAATGAGGTATTGTTCTTCTAATTGTCTCTTCTCTTCTTCTGCTTGCTCCTTCTCTTTCTTTGCTTGCTTATTCTCATCTTCTACTTTTCTCTTCTCATCTTCTACTTTTCTCTTCTCTTCCTCTACTTGTTTCTTCTCTTCTTCTATTTCAGTTATATATACTTCATTATAAGCAACTGTAACTCGAAGTTTCTCAATATCTTCTACATTAATAGACTCATCTAATATTATGTACTGATGATACACTAACCAGTAATAATCTGTTTCTCTTGTAAAACCTCTTCCAATTTCTCATTCATAATAACTAGCTGACTGCCATCGACTTTAGAGCCTGAAAAATTATAATGTAGTAAGCCTAATGTCTTATTGCAACAATATACCATTAAACATATAATGTAAAGTAAATTGCATATAGGACGTACATATAATATTACAGATGTACATGTACCTTGTTCATTAGCCTCAGTCAGTGCCTCCTGTAGTGATACTTTGTTCTGATGAGCCACTTGTAGTTCTTGATGTAAAGACTGGATGTATCTCTGAAGCTTCATTTCCTTCTCTGTGGGATGTTCTGTTAGCTGATCCATCCACCATTTTCTGGTCTTGCTGTATGATGAATACTTTTCTTGATATTTCTTACTAGTGAGATCATTACCATCCAGTACTGACTATACTATCCATTCACCAGCTTCATGTACTGAAATAAGGAAAATACATTTATTATTACAGTGAGTGTAGTAACAATCCTCATGTACCTAATTCAATCATCATTGTTAGCCTATTAGCATCAGTGATTGGTAGATGTGCATATGGCTCCTGCATTCCAATAATCCCTTCACTTCCTCCAACAATTACTAGCCACACACAGTTTGGTAACATTGTGACTGCTGTGAGTGAGTGAGCATATCTACCAGTAACAGATTCAGGTAGAGGAATCTATATAGATACATACTGCCTTGTGCCAATGTTAATAAAATGTACATGTACCTTCTTAAAACTGTACCGACCGGTAGTGATATTATCAAACGAGACACCTACGGTGCATGGCCTCGCCCCTATAGCTGCTATGGTGCATGCTCACACTGTAATAACTGTTTGATTATCAGCATGAAGAGAGACTGCTTAACACTAGCTTCCTGCAGTTGCACTTGCTCTTAAATACCTACAAAAGTAGCAGCACTGCAGCACATACATGCAAGCAGCTCCAGCCCCTCCCATGCATGTAGATTGAAGGTGTGGCATTCGAATGATTGGCAGCAAGAAGACCATGTGAGAAAGAAGCTTCACTTTTTCTTTACTAATCAGCAATATATGATAAACTTGCTGACAAAAAAAGTTGCTGCCTTTGTATATTTGAGATAGTATAGGTACTTTAGTACCTATAACCCAGCAAGTTGTTGCTCTAGCGCTGCACAAACGAGTGACCTCAACAATTTCAAGTAAGTATAACTCTTCATCAAGTAAGATTTAGAGAAATCTGTTCATAATTTTTGAAGGCCATGTTCTATTCTACTGAAAAATGCTACCAGCTATCTCTAAAGTGCCAACACAACGGAACTTGGCCCAACTACTCGATTTTCTTACTTTGAAGCTTCTGTACCTAGCACTTGTATTTGAGCAACACAAAACAGTTAAGAAAGACTTTTCCACGTCAAAAAGAAAGATCTAGGAGCTTAGAACACGCTGTGCTAAAGTTATTGTTTATTAAAAACAAATTTCAGTTGTACAGAATGAATGAATGAACGAGAGCACTAAAGTGCGTACCCTCGCCACAGTCTGTGTGTAACAATTTTAATAAATTAAGAGAAAAATAATTAGTGAAAGTTTTGACACAGAAAAGAAGCTTCAGCATGTAAAAACTTAGTGAATGTTTTGAGACAGTGAATTTTTTGTTTTTTTAGACAGAGAAGAAGCTCCAGCATGCTTGCTGCACTGCTGCAGCAATGTAAAGGTGTGGCTGCAATGAAGGTGTGGCTCAATCAAGCCATGCTCCACCCGCACACACAGTAATAGTGGCACGTGGCTCTAAGTGGTGAAGAAAGCTTTAGTTTTTCTCGACTTTTAAACAGTTTAGCATACATTTGTTAGGCTCTATTTGTTGCATACAAATGTCTGTTGAGTCTCTGATGTTTAAAGACTCTGGCCGCTACTTCGGGAGAAGAGAGCCTCGTGTAAACTCACAAAAGTATGACTTTTTGGGCTACCATATCTTTAAAACGAAGATGATTAGAGCAATTCCTCTCATATTAATGAAAGATGAGGCTTTGCTTTATTGTTTTATCTGCCCAGTTGCTCTTTTGCTCACACTATGAAAAAGTTGTCGGGGAACCGACCTACGTTTGGCGACTTTGCCAGCTTCTTTTTCCACGGAAAAGAAAAATATAGCATTCCCAAGACGGAGAATAACTTTTTCTAGAGCCAGTGTTGATTATAAGACTCTTGAGGACTAGACAAGAAAGCAGTGTCAGCTCAAAAGTGGAGGCCAAGCGAACACACACACACACACACACACACAGACAGGACGACTGCTTTACCCTCGCTTCCACGCCTACGCGTGGGCTCGGGTAATGACAGACACACACAACAACTACCTATACCTCGCGTAGGCGAGGCCAATGAATGACAGACACACACAACAACTACCTATACCTCGCGTAGGCGAGGCCAATAAGAAACAATCATTCACTAGTGCATTATCACTATCCAGTCCACCAATCACTACTAGTTCAGGTGAGGTAAAGCTATCATTGATAATAGCACAGGCATGCCAGCCCCTCTCTTTAGGCCAGAGTCCTTCACCAGATAAAGATCCTTTTTTAATACTCTCCCAATGCTAAATAAAAAATAAAGCATATTTTATTTGTGATAATATCACTGCACCAGTGCTTTTATATGATTGGTAGATATTACCATTATTATTTAGCATTTATAAAGAGCAAACTTATGGAATAAAATTTGTGTTATAGGGCCATATTGCATGGATTCCTAGTTGCATCCAATCTGTGAAAACTGAAAGTTTTGCTCTTTAAAAGTAAAGCACTATACAGTAGTAACAACAACAATACATGCAGTATCATACTTTTATACATAGCATGATTATAACAACTTACTATTGTATTGTGTGTCACATGAAATATGTACACATGATTAGTAGGTGTAAAGAAAAGATCATCATGAGTTGCCATTCCTCCAAAGATTATTCCTTTATTTTGATTTATTTTATTGATTGAAAATTGACTATTTGGTCGACAACATTGCCCACTGACAGATGGAACTGTGAATTTTTCTAAAATATAATACAATAGCCTCTACAGTATAGCTGGAAAAGTTTGCGGGAATTATATTTTGCGATTTTGTACCCATATAGCTAATTTTAATGTTTGTGGAATTTAATTTTGCTGGTGTAGGCGTGTACTGTTGATACACCCATTACTTATAATGCTTTGCGGAATTAAATTGTGCGTTTTTATGATGAACAGCAAACAGCAAAATTAAATTCCAGCAAATATTTCCAGCTATACGGTATAACATCTTCTTCATGCATTCACACAATGGTATAAAGAAACTCACTATTAGATAGATTATAAAGTAACTGTTCATTAGTAATAACACTGCCATCCTTATTGATCTGCTCATATTGAAACTGAGGATGCTTGACAGGTGGTAAAGGACCTATCCCTCCAACCATAAAAAGATAGTCAGTTCCATCAAATTCCAGTGATAGCATTCCAGCAAAGGTTTTCTTCATCATGGACTCATCATTAGGATGCAATTGAGTCCAGCTCATGGTCAGTGTATTTATTACATTTAAACTGTTGTAGAAATAACCACAGGCACCAGCATAATAATAAATATTAGAACGAAAGGTGGTACAGGAGTAGCCAATGACTCCTAATGGAGGAGTGCCTCTTGTTAGGTGAGAGGACCAGCGAGCTGATGAAAAAGAATATGTCTCAACTGTTGAGGTCAGTTTCCTTTTTTGAGGTGAATCGTGTACCTTAGGTAAGTCAGGCTGGTCCCCTCCCCACAGGTAGAGTGAGTCTCCTATTACTGGAGCTGAGTGTCCAGCCCTCCCTTTGAATTTATAAGTACCTGTAAAGGAAAGAAAACAAAATTAGGAAAAGAACACAAGAGAAACTAACCTGACATTTTCCAGCAAAACAAAGGTCAGAGGCATCAGCCCCACCTAAAAGGGTGTTGACTATCGAATGGGCGTTGGCAACAAAATCGAGATAAGGCTTGATTTAAGACCCATGATTTAGCCAAACTCCAGAGTTTACTGTTAATTTAGTAAACATCAGTGTGGGAAGAGAACTCTTGTATCATTCGAAACACAAGTAAACAATGCTAAACACTAATAAACAGTGATAAACATAAGTAAACAATGCTAAACAGTGGTAAACATAGGTAAACAGTCATAAACATAAGTAAACAATCATAAACGTAAGTAGACAGTGGTAAACAATGCTAAACAATGATAAACATAGTAGACAGTGGTAAACAATGCTAAACAGTGATAAACATAAGTAAACAATGCTAAACTGTGAAAACATAAGTAAACAATCATAAACATAAGTGAACAATGATAACATAAGTAGACAGTGGTAAACAATGGTAGACACTGATAAACATAGGTAAACATTGATCTACAGTGGTAAACGTTATGTAACATTGATAAACATAGGTAAACAGTAATGTACAGTAATATACAGTGGTAAACACTAGTAAACGTAGATATAAGCATACATAATGTGGTAACATTGATAAACACTCAGTTAAGAGTAGCAAACATTTGATGTGTGATAATTATCTCACCTGTAATTAAATCGGATAATTTTGATAAAATAATAATAAACTTTGCCTAGTGTAAACAAACTTTAGTATATATATATTGACTTTGTTTTGTAGCAGCTGCAAGCTCCAAACCTATACTAATATTGCAACTAATGTTGTTGTGGCCACCATCCCATGTGTGTAGTCATTAATGATGACCGGGAAGACCAATTTTACCACTTTTGTGTATATTGTAAATATACCAAATAGAATAAGTTTTTTATGCACTTTTGTATGAAAAACTTGACTACACTTCTGAGTAAATAATTATTAAGGTAAACAAGTAAAATCAATAAATGTAATAATTATTTTTAAAAAATTGCAATTCCAAATGAACAATTGAATTTAACAATAATTTACTGTTTCTTACAAGTACTACAATAAAAATCTATTTTTAGGACTTCAGTATATTCCACACCAACACACTTGCAGTGCATCCAC